AACATAAAACCATGTCTGCATTTGTGATTGGAGAAATGACAAACAACAAGCGCTACTCTACACTGCCCAAAACTTTGAATCATCAGTGGCAAATTCTTTAAATATAAAAAACGTACTTACAGTCTGTAAATCAGAACAGCCGGCATTGTAGTCTACTCTCCCAGGATCAGGAAACACTCCTCCATAAAATGTGCTGCACACATCTGAATATTTGGGTTGAAGTGTTCTGGAACAGTGTTGTAAATACAACTTAACCACTGATTTGTAGTCGTGTCCTCTTTTGGAAGACCAAACAAAGTAGTTTCGCTTTCACAGCGAAACACAGCGTCACACACGGCGGCGGCCTAGAGTGAGCGGAGGCGGACTGGGTTTGAGAACGGCGCGGCCGGCTAATTCGACGAAGGAGGGGCCGGCGGGCTTGCGGCAACCACATGTGACGACCCGGGGCTAGAATCCGCTTCGTCCACGGTGAAAGCTGATCCGGCGATCCACAGCGTGAAGTTGATGTATTTCCTCAGCGACCAGCACAGATCAGCTCCAGGCATGACGAAGCGGATATCGTCCTCTTTAGGAAGGCCAAACAAAGTAGTTTCGCTTACACAACGAAGCACACAACGTCTTCACGACATGGCGGCAGCAGCAACAACAATACTACAGTGAGAATAAAAGTTACGCCTTCTTTCTTTGCGTGAACATTTTGGCGGTGTTATGCAAATCTTCCCACATCGTGACGTAGACATGTGGGAGCGTGTTAGAACGAGCCGTTTTAGGTGGCATGGTTGACTCTTAACTTTTATAAAGAATATCTTTTTCGTTTTAATCTTTGGATTTGAGACTTTAATTTTTGCAACTTTACAGATCTTCTTTATGCACCAAGAGCTTGTAACACTTCAAAGAGAAAGGAACATTTTTAATCGCATCATATGACACCTTTAAAGGGAAATATAGTATAGTAAGTATAAATATTGACAAAAAATCTAACCCTAAATAATGAGAAATGTTGCCTTGGAAACTAACTGAAAAAAAGAAAAAAAAAGTTGATGTTGAAGTACTAAAATTCCTAAAACTGAATTAAAAATAAAGCTAAAAAACAAAAGTGAATAAAAACGAAAAACGCACATAACAAAATTACTAAAATTAAAATGAAAACTGAAAATATAAAAACAAAAGCTAATTCAAAGTATTAATAAAGAGAAATATTGTCTTTAGCTGAAAAAGGACTGTTTGTTATTGTCCTCTTGCATTATTTACAAACTATTTTCCTGTTTGACACTGTAACGCTGCTTTGACACAATCTGTATTGTATAAAGCGCTATTTAAATAAAGGTGACTTGACTTAAAGACTGTAATAGTATACACTGTACAAAATTGGCAGGAATTTACAGGATTAAAGAGTATTATTTTTACAATACAGTGAAGTCAATGCATGCTGGGTTATTTTCTTACAACTGACTGAGAATGAACAGCAGAGTGATGCTAACATCACAGTAATTTACTGCTTTTTGTTTACTGTGAATTCACATTATAAAGTTGTCTTTAACTGTGCCACTGTGAGCAATTTAGATGTTTATACTGTTATTGTTTTGAAGTCACCATAATGGTGAGCCCATATGTCTGGGCTCTGTGACCATGCATATTCATATTTGAATTTCTGATCTAGTCATATCGGAAGTGTAACAAATGAAAACATTTGTTAAAATGACAATAAGCCAGAATATGAAATTGCCGGAATTTAGTTGAAGATAGTTGAATTATTCTTAGCATGAACATGAAGATTTTATTTAAGCTTGAAGATTAATCAATAACCTATTTCATATTCATAACTGTTCGTGGATGGATCTTTCACAGTAGTGAAACAACTGCTGAGAAACGTCTTTGAAAGATGTGACATCAATACTCGACATACAAAACACAACAATGGTAACACTCAACGAATAAAAACAACACTTACAGCATAAATCAACATTACAAAATAAACAAACAACACAAATGGCTAAAAGTGAACCAAAAACAAGTTCAGTAGCACAAATAAAACCAACAAGAATGAAAAAAATCTTCAGCATGATCTATCCATGCTGCATTGCATGCTGGGTGCCTTCAGAGTACATATGCACTGTAGGAACACAATATGATGCTGTTCAAGTCCCACTGTGAAATTACTGTGAAAGTAATGCAAATATTAACCTGGAAAATACTGTAATTTCACACTACAACTTTTAACAGTGTATAAATAATACTAAAATAACACTGTGTAGTACATTCTAGATCAGTCAAGCTTCCATTTCAGTTAGGGTGCTGCCTTTGAAGACAGCCATCTATGTAGGCAGCACACTAAGTTTTGAAACAGAGCCAGTGAAACAGTTCGTCTGCCCCCCAAAAGATTGCGATGCTCGCCTACGAAATGAGAAAGCCTGACAAAAGCGAGCAAAACACACAAACACAGTATCTGTAAACCCTCCTAAGTGCTTTGAACCGCTTCTCGGGCTTCTTGAGCATTATGGTATCTGTGGCAGCGATGGTATTTAGGTCGGCTATTCAAGAAAGGTCTAATTGTGAATCCGTTAAATTGCCTTCTTGTGTGAAGAATCTCGGAACAGGAAGCTGGATTTTCCCAGCATGTGCGTTTGTGTGTTTGGGTTCTGTGGGAGGAGGGCAGACGTGTGGCCCAGGGCTGCAGCTCACACTCTGGAGGAATGGAGTGTGTGATAGGGGTATCTAATCCCTTCATACGCTCACAAACACACACACGCACACACAATGAGGAAAGCAGGTTGTCCTGCTGAGGCAGCAAGAGTTGGCTTCAGGAAAGGAGACGAGAGCACAACGAATAAAAGAGAGAGACGTTTGTATGGTAAATCGCCGGGAAAAGGAAGGGAAAGGTTTAAAGGACTAAACCTGTGGATCAGGGGAATCTGGCTGAGCTGAGATTTACTCTCGGACCCAGGAAGTCTGGGTCATCAACTTCCTTCAGCCGCTTTCCTTTGTTATTGGATTGAAATGATGTCGCTTTCCTTGTATTAACTGAAGAGAGAATACACTCTTTGTATGCTCTGTTGAAACAGCTTTTACATTTAACTTTCATAATGTGACATAAGTTTGGGGCCAGTAATATTTTTTTTAAAGAAATACATATTTTTATTATGCAAGGATGCATTAAATTGATCAAAAGTGACAGTACATACATTTATAATGTTATAAAAGATTTCTGTTTTAAACAAATGCTGTATTCATCAAATAATCCTGAAAAAAAGTATCATGATTTCCACTCAAATATTAAGCAGAACAACTGTTTTTAACAATGATGATAATAAGAAATGTTTCTTGTGAAGCCAGTCAATATATTAGAATGATTTCTGAAGGATCATGTGACACTGAAGACTGGAGGAATGATGCTGAAAATTCAGCTTTGATCACAGGAATAAATTACATTTTACAATATATTCAAATAGGAAGTAGTTCTTTTAAATTTGAATAATTTTCAAATAAATGTAGCCTTGTTAAGCAAAAGGAGACTTCTATTATTTTTTATTATTGTTATCATAATTATTACAATAATTAAAAGTATATGCTGCAAGAACATCTTGTTTTTCGCTATAAATATTTAAGTATTCATAAATAAACGAACTATGGCAGACAGGTTTTTCTTACTTTTCTTGCTCATAAACCTCAAAAACATTTAGACCTTAACATCTCATTTTGCTTCTTAGAGTAAATTTGTTTTGTTTCAAGGAAGTTAAGAAGAAAACAAGAAAATAAATATAAAAAATATACTAGAACAAAAACATATATATTTTAAAAATGATTATGTATTTGTCACATTCATAAGTCATGGTATGTCACTCAGCTACACTATTCTTAGTGTCAGTATATCGCTATGACACTCAATTGTATTTGGAGAACTTGATCCAAAAGTGGCCTAATTTTACAGACCTTCATTAACATTGGCAGGTTGACTACTCAATCATGCAGCCCACCAACTAGCTGTTTTTGAAAATGTGTAGTTGTACACATCCCTAAAATAATGTAGGGCAAGGCTTGATTTTATACATCAGGAATCGATTGGGGAAAAAAAAAAGCTGAAAGGAAGTGAAACATGTCAGGCTATAACATTATTGGTTAATGATATTTTTTCCTACTGGGGAAATATTTTTTCAGAGGAGCATAAAGCTTTTACTAAAGTTCTGTGCTGTGCTGAAATGTTGTTTATTTATAGATGCACCATTGAGGAAAGGGAGCCTGATTAATTATCCTCAAATTTCTGAGTGTGATTTACTGGGAGCAGCGTTATTTTCTCTCCCTCAGAGGACAAATTGAAGAATTTCAGCACCGGTCTGTCGTCCAACGCCAACCGGAACCACCCACACCTCCACCCACAGAGACGGATGAACTGAGCCGAAAACTGACAGGTGTGGCCCGTTTCATCACACACACACGCAATTAAACAGTAAACTGATAATAGACATTCACGTCACACAATTTAAAACATGAAATCACTTTTGACCATATTTATATACATACAGTTGTGGTCAGAATTATTAGCCCCCTTGGTAAATTAAAGGTAAAATAAAATGGAAATATGAATGGAAATATTCAAATTATAAGAATTTCTAGGGGTGCTAATAATTGTGGCCAACGTGTATTGGAGAAAAAACATTAATTTCATAATTATATTCCCCCCACTTTCAATTGTTTTACTTCAGTGAAAGGTTAGTTTTTTGTTCTTCTTTGCTCATATTTACCTTTCTTTTTCTTTTTTTCTTGCAAACATTTAAAGGGATAACCCACCCCAAAAATCTGTCATCATTTACTCACCATTTACTCAAGTTGTTCCAAACCTGTATGAGTTTCTTTCTTCTGCTAAGCACAAAAGAAGATGTTTTGAAAAATGTTGGTAACTGAACAGTTGATTGTAGCTATTGACTTCTATAGCATGGAAAAAATACAATAGAAGTCAATGGCTACCATCAACTGTTTGTTGATGTGAATTTATTCTTTTATTTAAACTTGTCATATCGTCATACCTGAGTTCGACCATGGATGGCAAGGAATGGTGTGTGACCGGTTGTGTACATGCTGCGATTCACATAGACCCGTAGAAATGCTTGCTCTCTCTCAAAAAAGTTGGAGAAATGAGCTTTAAGAGTCACTGCAGAGGGCAGCTTTCCTCTCACAGCTGGCAACTCGGATCCATCACTCTGTCCCTGAAGGGTGATCACAGAGCTGATTGAGAGAAGTTTCTAGGTGCTGCTGAGAGGCCAGTTGATCACAGCTGTCAAAGAACTGACCACCTTCAGCTTTTCCCAAACAGCCCCACGATGAGCGCCTTCTCTCTTCGTCAGCACCAGCCCGAGCCTGTTGCATCTTTTCTAAAGCCCCTCTCCGTGATGCTCACACCCAAAACACTTTTCAGTCACTTTTTCAAATGGCGTCTTTTTGATGGTTCATCTGATTTGGATTCTGCTGGTTGGTCATTACCTGTTCAGTCTGTCAACAGCTTATCTTGATTCATCCTGCATTTAAAAACATGAAACAACATTCACAAAGCATTTCACTTTTGTAATGTGACATTTTTCTGACTGCAACACTGTAAAAATGATATGATCAGTAAGTTATGGCAACTTATGTTTTTACATTACTTTAACTCATCAAAATAAGCAATTTCAACTTTAAGTTATATGAAATTCAACTTGATTTTTTTTTGTCAGTTTAATGTACAGTAATTTACGTTGAAATTACTTGTACTACCAAGCTGATTATATTTTTGTAATGTGACATTTTTCTGACTGCAACACTGTAAAAATGATATGATCAGTAAGTTATGGCAACTTATGTTTTTACATTACTTTAACTCATCAAAATAAGCAATTTCAACTTTTTTAAGTTATATGAAATTCAACTTGATTTTTTTTTGTCAGTTTAATGTACAGTAATTTACGTTGAAATTACTTGTACTACCAAGCTGATTATACTTTCAAATTTAAGGCAGCAACTGAGCTAACGTTTTTAAGTTGAAATAGGTAAAAAAAAATTGTGGTGAACAGAATATGTGGCAAGAATTTAATAAGATCATTAAATAATTTTTTCCCCATGTCCACGGCCTTGTTTACATCATCAGAAAAAAAAAAAAATGTTCAAAGGTGGAAAATGTATTATACTCCACCATTCAAAAGTCTTATTCTCACCAAGACAGCTGTACTGTAGCAGTAACTGAAAAACAGTGCAATTTTAGTATTCATTGATGAGTAGAAAGTTTGAAAGATTTAAAAAAAAATAATTATTTAAATGGAATACATTTTAAAAATGTAATCCATTTATTAACATTATTTCTTTACTGTTGGTAAAAGTGTTCAAATCTAACTGATACCAACTCTTTAAACAGTAGTGTATTTTGAAATATTATGAAAACATTTTTTTCTTTAAATAATATACATGAATGAATTGTGCACGGATGGGGTATTTATTCAGAAAATAAATTAATGTCTTAAAAAAATAAAAAAAGAATTTTCACAGGGCATGGACTGAAATAAATCTGGAGATCTGTCACTCTGTATTATGAATAAGTATGTAGAAACTGAACATTGAGCTGATTTAATTTCAGTGTTTAACTCTAAGCATAAATCTGTTTTACTGCATCTCTGATTTGCAGCAGAGCGGATGGAGTTGCATAAATACTTTACCTCTCTCTTCACGATCGCTCCTGCTGAGGATGCTGGGAAAGCGGACAGCCCTGCAGAATCCTGTTTAAGCATCATAGAGTTAGATGAGGTAATTCTGAACCCCACCACCCTAGTTTCTCTAATGGACTGCTGGGCGGTAGCCAGAGAATGACTCCTCAATGATGTTTCTTTACACTTATCATTCTGTCTTCTTCTGACAACCACTGTTTTTATCACTTTAATTTCTCCAGAAGATGGCTGGAGACGCTACATTGTACAGATCCTTTGGAGTCAAGCAGGGAAATGAGAGCAAAATGTAAGAAACACAAGATCAAGGCAAAAGTTAGACTTTTTGAAAGGAAGTGACAGAAAAGTTCACAGTAGGAGTGTCGTCTTGAAGCAACAATATTATTGAAGTTGCTGAGAACTGACACAAATACAGTGTCATGTTGACATTTGCATTTATATCAGCCATAACTAGACTTAAAATAAGACTGTTAACTGTGGGAGTAAGTTGTTAGATGTTATATACAGTATGCATGTCTGTTTTTCTTCCTTAAGGTTTGCAGCTGTTGGAAATGAAGATTTATCTGAAGGAGGAGATTTTGGATATTCGGTCTTGCCTTCCACACCGTCCTTCTCCGAGATGACCAAAGAATCCTTCAGTGAATGTAATTCTGGCACAAAAATCAACTCTTCTCCTGAGATGTGGCCGTCGTTTCAAGAGGCCACACAATCTTCGTCATCATTGCCAAGATCAGAAAGCTTCTCTCCACTTCAAACGAGGCTTCAGAAATCACAGCACCTGTCGACTACCTCAGAGCCATTTCTGTTGACTTCACAAACAGGAGGCCAGAAAGTGGAACTCAGTGACTCTCCAAAACCAAGCCCACGGATGAGATCTTCTTCAGCACAACAGGATAAACCCTCAGAGCTTCTGCCAACATCATCTCCTTCACTCCCAAAAACCAAATTAAATCAAACTCTCTTAGGCTTTGAGGACCACATTTCCACTATCAGGCCATCTCCTGGTAGAGTGCCGTCTGTTAGGTCTTCTCAAAGTCATTCTCCTGCATTTCTCATCTCTAAACAAAGTCCAAAACCTCCAGATTCTCCATCCCCGAGGTCTAGATCAGCTTCCTCTCCAGTCAACCCAATCCAATCCATACCTGCTCATTCAACACCTGTTTCTAAACCAAAATTAGCTCAACTGTCTCCAGAATTTGCTATCACTTCCCCAAGCGCCACAGTTCCTTCATTAAAGCCATCACCTAGAGAATCATCACAGTCTGCATTAGTCTCAGATAGAAGTACATCTACTATGCCTACCTATGACTCCATCAGGTCCTCTACGCCGAGAGCTGAATCCTCTCATACTGACGGGCACCGCTCACCTCCGGCCTCCAAATGGTTAAAGGCCTCACAGAGGTCACCCAAAACTACAGTGCTGTCCTTACAGCTGAGCATGTCAGGTTAGTATGATTTCCATTGGTAGATTTTAATTGAAGTTGTAACGAATCAGCTCATGACAGGAAATATGAATAATTAACCATAACTAGTTATAATTAACTATTCATATTTTAGATCCGCTGTAGATATTTAGCTGACCACTCAGGGTCAACTGTGTTGTCTGAACATTGAAAATGTTAGTTGGCAGTGTCTAATTGCAATTTTGTTTGTCTTCCATGATGTGCTTGAGCCTCTGTGTTTATAATTATCCTTCGAAAATGTTTGTGAGTGATGTAGACTGTTTCCTTTGTAATTAATAGCAGTTTAAATATATTTAAAACCAATATACCACTCAAAGCTGGCTGTGCATTACAGATTTTACTATGCTTAAGAGGTGTTATTAGGCAAAATGTAAAGCCTTTAGAATTTAACCAATGCAAAACCACTGTAACATACAAGTGGCTTGTTGATTTTATAAAATGGTGGCAACACCAATATGGTAAAAGACACAAATGTACAATAAATAATAAGTAACATATACACTACCGTTCAAAAGTTCAGGGTCATGTTTGTGTATGGCATGAAATATGAATTTGAGGTGTGACAAGAGAGACGTGAAACTAGTGCAGCTATGAAGGATGTGTAGGACAATTATACAGTTTATCATCTTTGTACAATCATATATGCATGAATAACCAATCCAAATCAAGTATTCCAAAGAGCTGTTTGATAAACATTCAAAAAATACTTAATAAATGACAAAAACCTGATTTGCCCATCCCTTGGGGTCCAGCACATCTGCATCAGAGAATAAAGATGATGAGAAAACATTAGTAGACATCAGCCTTCGTTCACACAGCGGTTGTTTCTGCAGTATTTGCTGACTACCAGAGTGATGGAAGCTTCAAGCTGTGTAGGATAAGCATTATTAATGCAGGAGGCAGCAGACGGGAAGCAGGGAAGAGAAACACGCAAGCTCTGCTAGACCATGTCCAGGCGGCTCGCTGCGAGTGTTAGATAAGGGTGCGCGTTTGCATCCTCACTGCCGGCCTCCTGCCGAAACGTCTCAATGTTTTCTCTCCTCCTGTCCTCATGGTTTCTCCTCTCTCACTATTTGTCACTGCTCAGATTCAGAAGAGGAAATGACAGGTGAAGATGCTTGCCTGGTGCCCAGTGAGGAAGACTCATCTGATGAAGAACTGAGACGAATCACAGATGCAGAAGAACAAAAGAATGGCTTTCCCTCTCTGTGTCCCACCACAACCCCTCTGGCAGACCCTCATTTCACTTTCACAAACCTCACAAAGTCAGACCGTGACACCATAGAACCGGACCTGTTTACAGGATCTTCTCAGGTGATCAGAGACCTGTCGATTCCTCAACCTCAGTTACTTGTAACAGGTTACCCATGACCCACTATTCAGACCAGTTAGTATACAAGATGTTTGTGGTTTTTAAATATTTTTAGTCTTTTATACTCACCAAGTCTGCATTCATTTAATCAAAAATAGAATGCAAACTTTGAAATATTATTATATAAATGCTGATTTGCTTGTCAAAAATATTCCTTATTATTATCAATGTTAAAATATCCAGGATTCAAATGTCAGTTTTTTTTTTTTGTGGATGCTTTTTTTCAGGATTATATGATGAATAGAAAGAAAGTTCGAAAGAACTGCATTTATTTGAAATAGAAATATTTTGTAACATAAATGTTTTGATAAATTTAATGCATCATTGCTAAATAAAAGTATTGATTTCTTAAAAAAAGAAATCTTTCTGTCCCCAAACTTTTGTTAGTCTATAGGTTATATGAAGATGGAAATGCAGCCACAATGATATAGTGAAAAACATGAGCTTTCACAGACTCTCTGCTGGAAATATTATATATAAAAAAAAGAGAGTATGAGAACTGTAAAATGAATTTTGTAATTCCTGTTGAACGGCCTTGCTGGAAACTCATATACTAAAGACTAAAGATATTACTCCTATGTAATTTAATTGCAGATTTCATGCTATGTTAGAGGTTATAGCAGGAAAAAACAAAGACTACTCAGCTGATGAGGGGCAAGAGGAAACAGAGCCGTCAAGTCAGCAGCAAATGGACTATCAGCGTTTAATGGCGTAACAAGGAGAGAGAAAAGAGAATGAATTACATTAAACACCTAAAAATTAAATGTCTGATCAGAAAGTGGCCTTATCTCTGCTCTTTTGTCTGGCGACCTTAATTACCACCCGCCGATTCTTTTTCCCCTACCTCATTTTCCATTTAAAGGACACCGACTGGAATTCAATCAAAACATAATTGTTTCTCATTTCCTTTCAGTTTAAAACAGTTTTTTTTCTTTTAAAAAGATCTTTGTCTGTCCATGCACTCCATCTGAAATTGACAAATTAAATTCGGCCTAATTTAACCTGCATAAGAGATAAAAACTTAAATGCCTAAAAGTGAGCAAAACATGACCATAAACAGGCAGAGTACACTTTTTTTTTTCTTTTAAAATAAATTTATACTTTTATTTAGGCAGGATGCATGAAACTGATTAAAAGTGACAGTAAAATCTTTTACGTTGGTACAAAATTTCAAAGAAATGCTATTCTTTTGAGCTTTTTATTCATTAAAGAATCTTGGAAAAATGTATCCTGCATATTAAGCAGCACAACTGTTTTCAATATTGATAATAATATTAAATGTTTATTGTGCACAAATAGCACAGCATATTAGAATGATTTTTGAAGGATCATGTGATACTGAAAACTGAAGTAATGAAGCTAAAAATTCAGCTTTGCATCACAGGAATAAATCCAATTTTATAATATATTCAAATAGAAAGCAGTTGTTTTAAAGTGTAATAATGTTTCACAATATACTGATTTTTACTGCATTTTATTTCAAATAAATGCATACTTGGTGAGTGTGTCACTTGGTGAAAGTGTTACTAAAATAGAATTTCATTGCAGAACAATATGACCCCATATGGATATATGATATTGATACGAGTAGATATATATAAAATACTTAATTTGGTTATTATTCTATAGCAAACAGCAGTTTCAGAATTCACTTTTTTAATATATATTTTTATGTTCGCATAATGCAAGATTAATAGACCTTAATAATTGGTATTTTACCAATTTTATATTTTTTTTATAATTGGTAGCTTAACAATATAATGTAAAAAAAGAAAGAAAAATAAATAATAAACTTCAGTCTTGCATAAAACAACACATACTAAACCTGCAGTCTTGGTGAACATTCTTTCAAAAACATTAAAAAGTCTTTCTGACCTTAAACTAGGGCTGCACGATTATGACAAAAATCATACTTGTCATTTATTCCCTTGAAATTGTAATTGCGATTATTAATTACGATTATCACAATTTACATTGAATGATGTATATACCATTGTTTGATGCAACTGCATGCCGTATTTTTATATGAAAATAAACAAGCTGAAATCACTCTAACTGAAAAACTTTGTGCTTTTCTATAGTATTAAGCCTCAAATGTCAACTATACATCGGATTGGTTTCTTCTTTAAATTATAAAAAAAGTAAAAATATGAATGGTATTATAATGTTATACTAAAACTAAAACTAAAACAATGGAAAAACCCTTAAGATAACATGTAGAAAGAAAAAAACATATCTTAAGCGTGCAGAATAACATAAGTGGACTTTGAACGATTACGTAATTGTGGCATCCATAATTGTAATTGCGATTAGAAATTTGATTAATTGTGCAGCCCTAAAGGTTAGTGTATATGGTACTGAGATAAATGTGAATGATAACAGATAACTTAAAAAAAAACAAAAAACAATAGTAGCCTTTTTATTACTATTTTTTCTTATTTATTTATTATGATCTCACGACAATTACCATCCAGACATTTTTGTACTTTAAGACTGCCAGAAATGTTAAATTAATTTTAATGCAGAAATTTAAAACATTTTCAACATATAAGAGAAGTGTTCAAGTCATTGTCTGTATAAATTGCATTTTTATGTCATTTTGAATACATTAGCGCCATGTCATTGAACACTAATGACAAATGTTCTTTCTATTTTTCTTCTCTCCCACAGGCCATTCATTCTGTAGCCCAGCGACAGGACATCCAGTCGGGGCAGTACCAAGACCTAGAGGGGATCCTGACTTTGGGACTGGACCCTGGAGTCCTGCAACCCAGCCCAGCTCCAGCTCAAACATCTAGAGAAGAGCAGAACCACACAGGGAGTTTGCTAGGTATATAGAAAAAAGATAAAGACTGCTGAGGATTAGAGGGCAAGATACAGCTATTAAAACAAGTGGAAATTCTATCAAATCAGTCAGTCAGCTTGGATCCTGCCATTATGAGATGTTTGGGTCAAGATGCCTTAATGACATTCGTACAGACATGAAACATTGTCTAGACCTCAGTAAGGTTCATAATAGTTAAGTGTTACTGTACAAACAGCACATAATTCTGTAAGAACTGACCTTGCAGCAGATTATCTTCTTTTCACAGGAGCACAAGTACACTTAAGATGTCTTTTATTAGAAATAACAGAGCTCTGTTGAGTTAAAGGAACACTCCACTATTTTTGAAAATAGGCTCATTTTCCAACTCCACTAGAGTTAAACAGATGTGTTTTACCGTTTTCGAATCCATTCAGCCAATCTCTGGACATCGTGTACTACGACCGACGGAAAATATCGGCCTAGAAAATCGCAACTTTTGGCAGTGTCTAATTGCAATTTTGTTTGTCTTCCATGATGTGCTTGAGCCTCTGTGTTTATAATTATCCTTCGAAAATGTTTGTGAGTGATGTAGACTGTTTCCTTTGTAATTAATAGCAGTTTAAATATATTTAAAACCAATATACCACTCAAAGCTGGCTGTGCATTACAGATTTTACTATGCTTAAGAGGTGTTATTAGGCAAAATGTAAAGCCTTTAGAATTTAACCAATGCAAAACCACTGTAACATACAAGTGGCTTGTTGATTTTATAAAATGGTGGCAACACCAATATGGTAAAAGACACAAATGTACAATAAATAATAAGTAACATATACACTACCGTTCAAAAGTTCAGGGTCATGTTTGTGTATGGCATGAAATATGAATTTGAGGTGTGACAAGAGAGACGTGAAACTAGTGCAGCTATGAAGGATGTGTAGGACAATTATACAGTTTATCATCTTTGTACAATCATATATGCATGAATAACCAATCCAAATCAAGTATTCCAAAGAGCTGTTTGATAAACATTCAAAAAATACTTAATAAATGACAAAAACCTGATTTGCCCATCCCTTGGGGTCCAGCACATCTGCATCAGAGAATAAAGATGATGAGAAAACATTAGTAGACATCAGCCTTCGTTCACACAGCGGTTGTTTCTGCAGTATTTGCTGACTACCAGAGTGATGGAAGCTTCAAGCTGTGTAGGATAAGCATTATTAATGCAGGAGGCAGCAGACGGGAAGCAGGGAAGAGAAACACGCAAGCTCTGCTAGACCATGTCCAGGCGGCTCGCTGCGAGTGTTAGATAAGGGTGCGCGTTTGCATCCTCACTGCCGGCCTCCTGCCGAAACGTCTCAATGTTTTCTCTCCTCCTGTCCTCATGGTTTCTCCTCTCTCACTATTTGTCACTGCTCAGATTCAGAAGAGGAAATGACAGGTGAAGATGCTTGCCTGGTGCCCAGTGAGGAAGACTCATCTGATGAAGAACTGAGACGAATCACAGATGCAGAAGAACAAAAGAATGGCTTTCCCTCTCTGTGTCCCACCACAACCCCTCTGGCAGACCCTCATTTCACTTTCACAAACCTCACAAAGTCAGACCGTGACACCATAGAACCGGACCTGTTTACAGGATCTTCTCAGGTGATCAGAGACCTGTCGATTCCTCAACCTCAGTTACTTGTAACAGGTTACCCATGACCCACTATTCAGACCAGTTAGTATACAAGATGTTTGTGGTTTTTAAATATTTTTAGTCTTTTATACTCACCAAGTCTGCATTCATTTAATCAAAAATAGAATGCAAACTTTGAAATATTATTATATAAATGCTGATTTGCTTGTCAAAAATATTCCTTATTATTATCAATGTTAAAATATCCAGGATTCAAATGTCAGTTTTTTTTTTTTGTGGATGCTTTTTTTCAGGATTATATGATGAATAGAAAGAAAGTTCGAAAGAACTGCATTTATTTGAAATATAAATATTTTGTAACATAAATGTTTTGATAAATTTAATGCATCATTGCTAAATAAAAGTATTGATTTCTTAAAAAAAGAAATCTTTCTGTCCCCAAACTTTTGTTAGTCTATAGGTTATATGAAGATGGAAATGCAGCCACAATGATATAGTGAAAAACATGAGCTTTCACAGACTCTCTGCTGGAAATATTATATATAAAAAAAAGAGAGTATGAGAACTGTAAAATGAATTTTGTAATTCCTGTTGAACGGCCTTGCTGGAAACTCATATACTAAAGACTAAAGATATTACTCCTATGTAATTTAATTGCAGATTTCATGCTATGTTAGAGGTTATAGCAGGAAAAAACAAAGACTACTCAGCTGATGAGGGGCAAGAGGAAACAGAGCCGTCAAGTCAGCAGCAAATGGACTATCAGCGTTTAATGGCGTAACAAGGAGAGAGAAAAGAGAATGAATTACATTAAACACCTAAAAATTAAATGTCTGATCAGAAAGTGGCCTTATCTCTGCTCTTTTGTCTGGCGACCTTAATTACCACCCGCCGATTCTTTTTCCCCTACCTCATTTTCCATTTAAAGGACACCGACTGGAATTCAATCAAAACATAATTGTTTCTCATTTCCTTTCAGTTTAAAACAGTTTTTTTTCTTTTAAAAAGATCTTTGTCTGTCCATGCACTCCATCTGAAATTGACAAATTAAATTCGGCCTAATTTAACCTGCATAAGAGATAAAAACTTAAATGCCTAAAAGTGAGCAAAACATGACCATAAACAGGCAGAGTACACTTTTTTTTTTCTTTTAAAATAAATTTATACTTTTATTTAGGCAGGATGCATGAAACTGATTAAAAGTGACAGTAAAATCTTTTACGTTGGTACAAAATTTCAAAGAAATGCTATTCTTTTGAGCTTTTTATTCATTAAAGAATCTTGGAAAAATGTATCCTGCATATTAAGCAGCACAACTGTTTTCAATATTGATAATAATATTAAATGTTTATTGTGCACAAATAGCACAGCATATTAGAATGATTTTTGAAGGATCATGTGATACTGAAAACTGAAGTAATGAAGCTAAAAATTCAGCTTTGCATCACAGGAATAAATCCAATTTTATAATATATTCAAATAGAAAGCAGTTGTTTTAAAGTGTAATAATGTTTCACAATATACTGATTTTTACTGCATTTTATTTCAAATAAATGCATACTTGGTGAGTGTGTCACTTGGTGAAAGTGTTACTAAAATAGAATTTCATTGCAGAACAATATGACCCCATATGGATATATGATATTGATACGAGTAGATATATATAAAATACTTAATTTGGTTATTATTCTATAGCAAACAGCAGTTTCAGAATTCACTTTTTTAATATATGTTTTTATGTTCGCATAATGCAAGATTAATAGACCTTAATAATTGGTATTTTACCAATTTTATATTTTTTTTATAATTGGTAGCTTAACAATATAATGTAAAAAAAGAAAGAAAAATAAATAATAAACTTCAGTCTTGCATAAAACAACACATACTAAACCTGCAGTCTTGGTGAACATTCTTTCAAAAACATTAAAAAGTCTTTCTGACCTTAAACTAGGGCTGCACGATTATGACAAAAATCATACTTGTCATTTATTCCCTTGAAATTGTAATTGCGATTATTAATTACGATTATCACAATTTACATTGAATGATGTATATACCATTGTTTGATGCAACTGCATGCCGTATTTTTATATGAAAATAAACAAGCTGAAATCACTCTAACTGAAAAACTTTGTGCTTTTCTATAGTATTAAGCCTCAAATGTCAACTATACATCGGATTGGTTTCTTCTTTAAATTATAAAAAAAGTAAAAATATGAATGGTATTATAATGTTATACTAAAACTAAAACTAAAACAATGGAAAAACCCTTAAGATAACATGTAGAAAGAAAAAAACATATCTTAAGCGTGCAGAATAACATAAGTGGACTTTGAACGATTACGTAATTGTGGCATCCATAATTGTAATTGCGATTAGAAATTTGATTAATTGTGCAGCCCTAAAGGTTAGTGTATATGGTACTGAGATAAATGTGAATGATAACAGATAACTTAAAAAAAAACAAAAAACAATAGTAGCCTTTTTATTACTATTTTTTCTTATTTATTTATTATGATCTCACGACAATTACCATCCAGACATTTTTGTACTTTAAGACTGCCAGAAATGTTAAATTAATTTTAATGCAGAAATTTAAAACATTTTCAACATATAAGAGAAGTATTCAAGTCATTGTCTGTATAAATTGCATTTTTATGTCATTTTGAATACATTAGCGCCATGTCATTGAACACTAATGACTAATGTTCTTTCTATTTTTCTTCTCTCCCACAGGCCATTCATTCTGTAGCCCAGCGACAGGACATCCAGTCGGGGCAGTACCAAGACCTAGAGGGGATCCTGACTTTGGGACTGGACCCTGGAGTCCTGCAACCCAGCCCAGCTCCAGCTCAAACATCTAGAGAAGAGCAGAACCACACAGGGAGTTTGCTAGGTATATAGAAAAAAGATAAAGACTGCTGAGGATTAGAGGGCAAGATACAGCTATTAAAACAAGTGGAAATTCTATCAAATCAGTCAGTCAGCTTGGATCCTGCCATTATGAGATGTTTGGGTCAAGATGCCTTAATGACATTCGTACAGACATGAAACATTGTCTAGACCTCAGTAAGGTTCATAATAGTTAAGTGTTACTGTACAAACAGCACATAATTCTGTAAGAACTGACCTTGCAGCAGATTATCTTCTTTTCACAGGAGCACAAGTACACTTAAGATGTCTTTTATTAGAAATAACAGAGCTCTGTTGAGTTAAAGGAACACTCCACTATTTTTGAAAATAGGCTCATTTTCCAACTCCACTAGAGTTAAACAGATGAGTTTTACCGTTTTCGAATCCATTCAGCCAATCTCTGGACATCGTGTACTACGACCGACGGAAAATATCGGCCTAGAAAATCGCAACTTTTCATTTTCCGTCGGTCGTAGTACACGATGTAACTACAGAAGAGTCAAGTTTTAAATAGGAAAAATATGGAAACTCTTTGGTCATTTTTGAGTGAGATGCTAACGGTCTAATCAGATTCAATGATCTATGCTAAGCTGCAGCTAAAAGTGCTACCGCCAGACCCAGAGATCGGCTGAATACATTTGAAAATTGTAAAACTCAACTGTTTAACTCTAGGGGAGTTGGAAAATGAGCCTGTTTTAAAAAATAGTGGCGTGTTCCTTTAAGATCCGCATGATTATACTGCATGATACCGCATGATCGGACGGAAACCAGAGGTTAACAATTTCAAAAAAGTCTGCCGTGGAAACTCTCGAAACCGACAAAGTCTGAACCCTAATAATGGATCAGATGTCATTTTAAAAACTCCACCTTTCAAAAGTTTGGGGTCAGTTAAGATTTTTCAATGTTAAAATAAAAGGAGTCTCTTATGCTCACCAAGGCTGCATTTATTGTATAAAAAATACAATAAAAACAGCAATCTTGTGAAATATGTTTTATAATTTAGAATAACTATGGCCTAATATATTTTAAAATGTAATTTATTCCTGTGATCAATCCACTATTTTTGAAAATAGGCTCATTTTCCAACTCCACTAGAGTTAAACAGATGTGTTTTACCGTTTTCGAATCCATTCAGCCAATCTCTGGACATCGTGTACTACGACCGACGGAAAATATCGGCCTAGAAAATCGCAACTTTTAATTTTCCGTCGGTCGTAGTACACGATGTAACTACAGAAGAGTCAAGTTTGGTCATTTTTGAGTGAGATGCTAACGGTCTAATCAGATTCAATGATCTATGCTAAGCTGCAGCTAAAAGTGCTACGCCAGACCCGGAGATCGCCTGAATGGATTGGAAAACGGTAAAACTCAACTGTTTAACTCTAGAGGAATTGGAAAATGAGCCTGTTTTAAAAAATAGTGGCGTGTTCCTTTAAGATCCGCATGATTATACTGCATGATACCGCATGATCGGACGGAAACCAGAGGTTAACAATTTCAAAAAAGTCTGCCGTGGAAACTCTCGAAACCGACAAAGTCTGAACCCTAATAATGGATCAGATGTCAATTTAAAAACTCCACCTTTCAAAAGTTTGGGGTCAGTTAAGATTTTTCAATGTTAAAATAAAAGGAGTCTCTTATGCTCACCAAGGCTGCATTTATTGTATAAAAAATACAATAAAAACAGCAATCTTGTGAAATATGTTTTATAATTTAGAATAACTATGGCCTATTTGAATATATTTTAAAATGTAATTTATTCCTGTGATCAAATCTGAATTTTCATCATAACTCCAGTCTTCAGCATCACAAGAGAATCTTGAAGAGAAATCATTCTGATATGCTGATTTGCAGCTCAAGAAACATTTCTAAAACTTGTCAAGAACATGCCTAGATCACATTTCATACAAAAATCATACCAAAAGAAATAAATAAGAAATAATATTTTGCTTAAACAAAACAAAGCCGATTTGCATTAACATTAAGATAATTTGCATTGTGTCATAATTTTTTTTAATTAAATCAGGGTTATTATAGAATCTGTTCTGTTATGACAGAAAACTAAAACTGAAACTAAAATTAAGAAAAACTGTGTGGACACACACAGGTTTGTTTTTGTGAAAAGTGGGGACATCCCATAGGCGTAATGGTTTTTATACTGTAAAGACCGTATATTCTATTGCCCTACACCAACCCTACCCCTAAACCTACCCCTCACAGGAAACTTTGTGCTATTTCAGATTTTCAATACACTCCATTCTGTGTGATTTATAAGCGTTTTGAAAAGTGGGGACATGGGGTAATGTCCTGAAAAGTTACCTTCTCCTTGTAATTCTTCAGCATCACAAGAGAATCTTGAAGAGAAATCATTCTGATATGCTGATTTGCAGCTCAAGAAACATTTCTTATTATTATCGACATTGAAAAAAATCAATATGCAAGATTAGCTATCAATATTTTTGTGAAAACCACCATGATGTAGTTTCGATTCTTTGATGAATAGAAAACAGCATTTAGAAATAGATTTTTGAAATAGAACTCTTTTGTAATAATGTTATTACTGATCATTTTAATGCATCCCTGCTGAATAAAATAATGTCTTTAAAAAAAAAAACTTTTAAAAAGTAGTGTACACACTCCTCACAAGTCATGCCTATTGAGAATGAGAATTTGGGAGGAATATTTACTTAAATGTTATGAAAATACTGTTACAATGCATAAGCTTAATGGACCTAAATATACAGTAAGTTTAATTTTTTTTGAGCATACTATATTTCCTTATTTTTTCTTTTAGCATCCAAAAGTTGCATGAAAATGAAGCTGCATATTCTTCATCAACTGGGTATTCTGAAAGTTAACTATTTATTATTAGATCAAATATTACCAGCATAATATTTACCTTAATCTTAGTGTTGATGGTGACAAAGAGAAGTGGATGTAGAGGTCAGATAGCTGGTGCATCATGTGCACACAAACTTATTTTCACTGGCACTAAAATCACTTTAGAGTTTGTTTGAATGTGGTCCTCTTGCCTTCTGATGCTGAGTACATTTAATCTAAGTCTGCATCTACTGGGATATTGTTAGAAGGTTTACACTTTGAGTGTGAATATTTAGAGCTGTGATGTACAATAACTTGTGGACCTTCTAGTAAACTATATGTAAGCTCTGATTATCTTCAAGACCACATGATGATGGTTGTCTTGCTGCGTGGAGATCTCATTGTTTGTTTTATTTGTAGCTGTAATGCAGGAGTCCTGGAGATCCAGCAGCAGTCTTCAGCTGGTCACTGCGCTGATGAACGCTCAGCCCATCAATAGCACCCCTCGTCCGTTCACACCATGCCGTGGCAGAATGTCATCACAGAGGCTGTGTTTCTCAGGTAATTTGCTTTCATTTCTTGTAAAACAACAGACATGGGTGACACCAGATTTAATTTGATGTGAAATGTGCATGAAAAAGAGGCTGTGAAGAATATAACTTTATTCTGTTCCGTTGACATGTTGTGTCATATCTTGTTTCTCATCATTTTATGCCTGCTCTCAGACTGTCTATAAAAAAAGGCCAAAAATAAAAATGTTGAAAACAAAATGCTCAGAGAAAATCTGGAAAACATGGGATAAAAAAAAATATGGGATCAGTATGGTTTTTAAAATCTTTTTGAAAGACGTTTCTTATGCTAACCAAGGCTGCATTTATTTGATCAAAATGCAGTAATATTGTGAAATATCATTACAGTTCAAAATAAGTTATTTTTGTCTTAATATATTCTAAAATGTAATTTATTCCTGTGATCAAAGCTGAATTTTCAGCATCATCACGCCAGTCTTCAGTGTCACATGATCCTTTTCTGGAAACATTTCTGATCATTAGCAATGTTCAAAACAATTGTGCTGTTTTATATTAAAACCATGATATATATTTTGAAAATATGAACATAAAAGTAAAAAAAAAAAAAAAAAACTAATTTGAAATACACATTTTTTGTAACATTATAAATGTCTTTACTGTCACTTTTGATCAGTTTGAATGCATTCATACTAGCTGAGTAAAAATAATTTCTTTCAAGAAAATAAACTATTATAATAATATAACACACAAGTCGTATAAACTACTTTTATGGTGCTTTTTGAGTTTGAAAGCGTCTGGTCACTGTCTGTTTTTATTGAATGGACAAGAAAATTTCCCTTTTTGAGTGTTCCAAGGTAGAAAGAAACTCAAACTGGTTTGGAACGACATGACGATGAGCAAACAATGACATATTTTGAATTTTTTGGTTGAACTGTCCCTTTAATCGAAACGACCTATCGTGTTAATCACATCCTGTGGTCTATTTCCCAAATCTAGGCCCTTAGAGTAAAATAAAGTCTTCATCTCTCTTCTTAATTTCCCCCTCTGTGTGCAGACTTAATCCAGATTTATGCGGCTAAATCTGTGTTTAAGATGTTGAGCCTGTCTGATGTCATATCTTTGCCGTGACTAAACGATCATTTACAGAGAGCCTCCGCCAACCCTTCGGACACGGCGTTATGGCCAACAGGACATCAATAACATGGCTGTAGAAGAGTCGCGCTGACGCTCAGCCGTGGCGTGATTTATTGGCTTGTACCCGTAATTAAAGCCGAGCTGATTCCTGAGCTTCCTGCGCCAGCACACGCGGCTGAGGTTTTATAAAGAGATTACTGTGTGTTGCCGCGTGCGGGAGTGCAGGGAATGCGGCCAACGGCATGCTCCTCAATCTCTCGGCTCAGCTCAGATCAGCTCAGCTTGCTAGCTCGGTTTATCAGTCTTGCTTTCTCTACCTCTCGACACGTCTTCCTCTCTGTCTCTCGGCTCATCACTTGCAGGTCTGCAGAGGAGGGAAAAATAATCTGTTTAACAGCATGACAGCTGTGATTTCGGCTGGTGCAAATCAAAGCGTCAGATATCCATCCATGCGTTCTCTTTTTTTCTCTCTCTCTCCCGTTCTTTCTCTATATATCTCATATACTTGTGTCAGGTTCGACACGCTAGATTGAGCCTTTTGCATCAGAGGATACTCAAAGCCATCGGCCTCCTGAGTCCAAATCATGGGAAGCGATATCAGCTAATACATGATCACAAATGCTGTGTCACATGGGCATTTCAGTTGTGAACTACTTGGTTTTTAAATATATCTTTTCAGTGAAGGAATCTGATTTAGCTTCTACAGTATTGCTCAAATGTTTAAAATAATAATTTTGTGCAAGGATGCATTCAATTGATCAAAAGTGACAGTAAAGAGTTTTATAATGTTACAAAATGTGTCTATTTCCAATAAATGCTGTTCATCAAAAAATCCTGAAAAAAATGCATCATGGTTTCAATAAGAATATTAAGCCACACAATAATTTTAAGCCATTTTCAACACTGATAATAATCAGAAATGTTTCTTGAGCAGCCAATCAGCATATTAGAATGATTGATTTCTGAAGGATCATGTGACATTGAAGACTGGAGTAATGACGCTGAAAATTCAGCTTTGCATCACAGGAATAAATTATGTTT